AAATCTTGTTGGCTTAATTTTGTTATAAATTAAGTATTCCGTGATCGAGGAACATAAAAGTTTCCGAGTCTTGGTTGATAAACTTTGATTATTTTCAAAGTATTTTAAAACAGCATTTCCATTCACGTTAGACTTTAAAATTCCTAATAACGAAATCTACTAAACTATTTTTGTAATTTACTCAGAAACGCAAAATAATACTTACTTCATTTAAATCATTAACCGCACCAAGAAAACTAGAAGAAATGGATTCTGTTGATCCTGATCCGGGCGTTGCGCTTTCTGATGGAAAAGATAAAATTTCAATGCGCTACATTTGTTTTGATTAGTTATTTCATTATTTAGATTTTCATTTAATAATTACCACTCCTTGTTCTATTTGCCACTCCTTCAATCTCTGTTCAAAAATAATTTTGCGTCCCAAAAGTTCTTTGGGGAATAATTCATTAATGTGGCTGCTCTGCATAAACTTTAAACTTTCCTCCGTAATGTTGTGTTCTTAAAAAAAAACAACAAAAATTAATACAAAGCAAAAACGTTCGCGGCGCCTCTTTTCTTGTGAAATATTGTATATTCAAACACACATATGTACATACATGCATACATATGTACAGTTAACAGTTAACTTTGGTTATGCTGCACAAAAATTTCCTGTATGTACATATGCATTTTCAAAAGGCACATGTTTGCACTTGTATCTATTTCACAATATTATTTTCACACTTACCTTTCAGTAAATCGTACAAATCTATTAAATCAAATAATTCCAAAAGTTTGTACAATTTGTCCCCTTCGAAAACAATTTCCATATTTGTATTTGCCATATTTTATAGCACGTAAAGAAATTCCATCACTCACTTGTCACTGTTCAAATGTCGAATGGAAAACACAAAAGAGAACGCCAGCAGAGTTGAAAGCAGTGTTGCCACAGACATTTTTTTTTTCGTACCAAAAAGCGTACCAAAATGCCTTTGAAAGTACCAACATTTTTTTTTCTAATAATAAAAGTCAAACAGCTTTGTTCATTTTATTTATTCCTTTTCAATAGGGAAACAAGAGGCTTTACATCAATATTTGTACTACAAATGTATATATATGTATAATTTTTAGAAACAAATGTACAACTTGAAGCTTAAGGACACATGGTCGTTTGTATACTCGAGATCAAGTAGGTACTTAGATTTACTTATATCTTCTTTTTAAAGATAGAAATACTAAAAGGAACTTCTTTTCTACAAAATGTGGTAGAAAAAAAATGTAGCCTTTGCTTTTATTTTATAGGTTTATATATAAAATTCTTTAACGATTCAAAATAATACTTATATTAGAAAAATCCATAAAAATTTGCTTTTACGTGAAAAAGTACCAAAATCAAGAGCAACGTACCAACGTACCAAATCATTTTGAAAGTACCAGTTATGGTACGAAAGTACCAATTACGGCATCTCTGGTTGAAAGCAATACTTGACCAGTGATGCCAGATAAACTCCGCTAAATTTCCCACAAAAATGGGAAAAAATTCCCTCAGTTTCCCACATCTTAAATAAAAAATCCCACGAAATTCCCACAGATTTTAAATCATTTTTTATTGGGGGTATTGTATTTCTACTGCTGAGTGGAAGATACCCTGTTTCAAAATATTTTTCAAAAACGCCCTATCTCAGAATTTGTTTCAATAACGCCCTTTCTCAAAATTTGATTGAAAAACGACTTTTCTCAGCTGAAAATGTACTGAATTTTCATTGAGATCGGTCGTTTTTCAAACTCACTCTGAGATGGGCCGTTTTTCAAACAAATTCTGAGATAGGGCGTTTTTGAAAAATATTTTGAAACAGGGTATCTTCCACTCAGCAGTAGAAATACAATACCCCCAATAAAAAATGATTTAAAAAATTTAAAAAAAAAAAAAAAAATGTCTGTGGCAACACTGCTTTCAACTCTGCTGGCGTTCTCTTTTGTGTTTTCCATTCGACATTTGAACAGTGACAAGTGAGTGATGGAATTTCTTTACGTGCTATAAAATATGGCAACATTACGGAGGAAAGTTTAAAGTTTATGCAGAGCAGCCACATTAATGAATTATTCCCCAAAGAACTTTTGGGACGCAAAATTATTTTTGAACAGAGATTGAAGGAGTGACAAATAGAACAAGGAGTGGTAATTATTAAATGAAAATCTAAATAATGAAATAACTAATCAAAACAAATGCAGCGCATTGAAATTTTATCTTTTCCATCAGAAAGCGCAACGCCCGGATCAGGATCAACAGAATCCATTTCTTCTAGTTTTCTTGGTGCGGTTAATGATTTAAATGAAGTAAGTATTATTTTGCGTTTCTGAGTAAATTACAAAAATAGTTTAGTAGATTTCGTTATTAGGAATTTTAAAGTCTAACGTGAATGGAAATGCTGTTTTAAAATACTTTGAAAATAATCAAAGTTTATCAACCAAGACTCGGAAACTTTTATGTTCCTCGATCACGGAATACTTAATTTATAACAAAATTAAGCCAACAAGATTTCATTTTTCGAATTTAGCGGACAAAATTATACAACTTTTCCCAAAGGAATCTAAGGTAATGCATTAGATAAAAAAAATGGATTTGATTTTAGGTTTGCTAATTAATTTACTGTTTA